AATTAATTAATCAATCAATTTTTATTTTTTTTTTTAATTTTTTTTTCAACGTTTTATTTATTTTTGGGACAGAGAGAGACAGAGCATGAACGGGGGAGGAGCAGAGAGAGAGGGAGACACAGAATCGGAAACAGGCTCCAGGCTCTGAGCCATCAGCCCAGAGCCCGACGCGGGGCTCGAACTCACGGACCGCGAGATCGTGACCTGGCTGAAGTCGGACGCTTAACCGACTGCGCCACCCAGGCGCCCCAATCAATCAATTTTTAAATTTACATCCATGTTAGTTAGAATATAGTGCAACAATGATTTCAGGAGTAGATTCCAGTGATTCATCCCCTATGTATAACATCCAGTGCTCATCCCAACAAGTGTCTTCCTTAATGCCCCTTACCCATTTAGCCCATCCTCCCTCCCACAACCTCTCCAGTAAACCTCTGTTTGTTCTTCATAATTAAGAGTCTTTTATGTTTTGTCCCCCTCCCTGTTTTTATATTATTTTTGCTTCCTTTCCCTGTGATCGTCTGTTCTGTGTCTTAAATTCCTCATATGAGTGAAGTCATATGATATTTGTCTTTTTCTGACTAATTTTGCTTAACATAATACCCCTAGTTTCATCCACGTAGTTGCAAATGGCAAGATTTCATTCTTTTTGATTGCCGAGTAATACTCCATTGCATGTGTATACCACATCCTCTTTATCCATCCACCCATTGATGGACACTTGGGTTCTTTCCATACTTTGGCTATTGTTGATAGTGCTGCTATTAACATTGGGGTGCGTGTGTCTCTTTCAAACACTACACCTGTATCCTTTGGATAGATACCTACTAGTTCAATTGCTGGATCGTAGGGTAGATCTATATTTTTAATTTTTTGAGTAACCTCCATACTGTTTTCCAGAGTGGCTGCACCAGTTTGCATTCCCACCAGCAGTGCAAAAGGGTTCCTCTTTCTCCACATCCTTGCCAACATCTGTTGTTGCCTGAGTTGTTAATGTTAGCCATTCTGACTGATGTGAGGGGGTATCTCATTGTGGTTTTAACTTGTATTTCCCTGATGATGAGTGATGTTGAGCATTTTTCATTTTCATCTGGACGTCTTTGGAGAAGTGTCTATTCATGTCTTTTTGCCCATTGCTTCACTGGATTATTTGTCTTTTGGATGTCGAGTTTGATAAGTTCTTTATAGATTTTGGATACTAACCCTTTATCTGATATGTCACTTGCAAATATCTTCTCCCATTCCGTTGGTTGCCTTTTAGTTTTACTGACTGTTTCCTTCTCTGTGCGGAACCTTTTTGTTTTGATGAGGTCCCAATAGTTCATTTTTGCTTTTGTTTCCCTTGCCTCTGGAGATGTGTTGAGTAAGAAGTTGCTGTGGCCATGATCAAACAGGTTTTTGCCAGCTTTCTCCTCTAGGATTTTGAAGGCTTCCTGTCTTCTGTTTAGGTCTTTCATCCATTTTGAGTTTCTTTTTGTGTCTGGTGTAAGAAAGTGGTCCAGGTTCATTCTTCTGCATGCCGCTGTCCAGTTTTCCCAGCACCACTTGCTGAAGAGACTGTCTTTATTCCATTGGGTATTCTTTCCTGCTTTGTCAAAGATTAGTTGGCCATACGTTTGTGGGTCCATTTCTGGGTTCTCTATTCTATTCCATTGATCTGAGTGTCTGTTTTTGTGCCAGTACCATACTGTCTTGATACTTATAGCTTTGTAATACAGCTTGACATCCAGCATTGTGATGCCTCCAGCTTTGGTTTTCTTTTTCGGGATTGCTTTGGCTATTTGGGGTCTTTTCTGGTTCCATACAAATTTTAGGAGTGTTTGTTCTAGCTCTGTGAAGAATGCTGGTGTTATTTTGATAGGGATTGCATTGAATATGTAGATTGCTTTGGGTAGTATTGACAGTTTAACAATATTTGTTCTTCCAATCCAAGAGCTTGGAATATTTTTCCATTTTTTGGTGTGTCTTCTTCAATTTCTCTCATAAGCTTTCTATAGTTTTCAGTGTATAGACTTTTCACCCCTTTGGTTAGGTTTATTCCTAGGTCTTTTATGTTTTTTATTTATTTATTTTAAAGATTTTAATTTTTGTAAGTAATCTCTACACCCAACTCTCAACCCCAAGATTAAGAGTTACATAATCTACTGACTGAGCCAGCCAGGTGCTCCCCCACCCCCTTGAGGTTTTAATAACTGTTTTATTAAGATACAACTTATATAACACAAAATTAATTCATTGTAAGTGTACAGTTCAATGGCTTTTTTAGTAAATTTATGGAGTTGTGTAGTCATTGTCACACATTTTTATTAGCCTAAAGAGGACCCTTGTGCCCATTTGTAATCAATACCAGTCCTTTCACAGCTCCAGGAACTCATTGATCTGCTTTCAGTCTCTAATGAACTATTTTATGAATATTTCATATACATCGAATCACATAATATAAAGTCTGTTGTGCCTGATATCTTTCACCAGACATTAGGTTTTTGAGGTCCAAACATGTTAGAGCACATGCCATTAGTTAGTGGCATTTTATTCTCAATGTTATTACATTCTATGAATATACACCACATTACATTTATGCATTCACCAGCCGAGGGACATTTCAATCATTCCCCGTTTTGGCTTTTAAGAATAATGTTGCTGATTCCACTCCCATTCCTATTCTGGTTCAGGATGATAGGAACGCCATTCCAGTGGGATGAAGCAAGAATACAGGCGCCCTCTCCTCCAAGTCTGAAGTTGAGGGCCACGGCACCCTCCTATGAAAGGGCGGGTGGCTACCCCACTTCTCATCCCCTGCCAGCTACGTGTTGAAGACCCTAAATTCCAGGTGAACACAGCTGAGAAGTTAGAGGCTCTCTTCTTCGAGCTGCCCCCTATCCACAGGGCAGAGGCTCTAACTCTGAATACTGGTACTGGTAGGGAAGAGCATGATGGATAGTATTTTCTAGAATGACATAAATGTTTACTAGCTTGACAAGGGTTTTAGTTACATGAATAAATGCCAGCTCACCAAGTGATGTCTCTGAGCTCCCAGGGGTATCTGTTTTAGTCTGTTCAGGCCGCTATAACAAAGCACCACACACTGGGTAGCTTATGGACAACAGAAATTTATTTTTCACAGTTCGGAAGGCTGAGAAATTCAAGACCAAGACACCGACATATCCGGTGTCTTGTGAGAACACACGTCCTGGTTCACGGAGGGCTTTTCACTTGTCCTCATGTGGCGGGAGGGGTAAGGGTGCCGTCTAGGGTCTCTTTTATAAGGGCACACAAATCTCATTCAGGAAACTCTACCCTCCTAACCTAATCACCTCCCAAAGGCCGCACCTCCAAATACCACGGCACCGGGGATTCGGGCCTCAGCACTTGAATGTTGGGGGGAAGATACAGCATTCAGTCCATAGCAAAGGCTAAAGCCACATTTGGTAAATATTCGCGCAGTCATTCATGTTACTCTGGATTAGGGGCGGG